TCAGCAGGAGGGTTGGACTAGATGACCCACAGAGGTCCCGTCCAATCCCTACCGTTCTGTGATTCTTTGGTTCTGTGATTCTGACCAAAGAGATGAAGCGGTGTGGGTTTTTTACCTTGTTTTTATCCAAGGGAAAATCAGATATTAGTATGTGGAAATTAACATGTTGCTGTTCAATTTGTTTTTGGTTGTTTTTTTTTTTCTGTTAGCCATTATAAAACCTGCAACATCATTTTAAATGGCAAAGCTTTAGTCTGTCTTTTAAAAAACAAAAACCCCCAAAACTCCAACTTTATTGTTCTGTTTTGTTTGGGATTTGGTAGATTTTATGATTAATTAAATTTGGGGGTTAGATTAGGGAGGTAATTATTTGTGCTAGTAGATAGGAGGCATGGTTGTATGATGTAAATTTTCAAGAAAAAGATCAGATCATATTTTGGAGGACATTTGTTCTCAAAGGTTTATTTAAAATTTTGTTAATGTAAAAGCTTCAACTTAATCACAAATTTCTTTTCTTAGACTGCAGGTAATGTTTATGTACCCTTACAATAAAGGATGCACTTTGTGGCCAGAGGCAGAAATTCAGCAGCTGTCTTTTCTAATAAATTTTTAGAATAGAAGTTGAGTATTCAAAATAAAGGCTTTTAAATTGATACGTCTCGGTTTACAGTGTTATTCATAGAAGGTGATCTCTAAAATGTTGGAGCACTTTTAAAAACAAAGTAATAATGATCAGAAATAAACACTGCTTGACTTATAAATGTAAGGTGAGAAACTGAGCTGCATTCTGCAAAGGGATGGAGCTTGAAGTCCGGAAAAATCACATGAATTTTTTTTTGCCTAGCAGAGAAAAAGCAGTTGTGCTGGAGGTGTGATTTTTAAATGTGCTATGCTGCTGTTACTAAAACAAGAAACTATGCTAAGGTGTATTGCCTGTTTAAGAAAACATGTAATGTGAATGTTCTAGACCTTCAGCATGTCCATCTCTGTGTGTTTGTAGGGATCGAGTAGTGGCGGTGTTTGTACAGGGTCCTGCTTGGCAGTTCAAAGGCTGGCCTTGGCTCTTGCCCGACGGATCACCTGTGGATATCTTTGCAAAAAGTAAGGGGTTTTGGGGGGGTTGGGTTAAGTGTTTTGGGGTTTGTTGTTCTGTCTGGGGTTTTTTGTGGGGTGTTTATGCTTATGGCAGAGTACTGCCAAAATCCTGTTGGACTGGGGTGGTTGAAAAGACAGACGCTTAGGTCTTCACACAGATGGCAAGTATTAACATGCCCTCTGCAGTTCTGCTGTGCTGACCTGTGGAAGCTCACGGAAATCTCAGAGCTGTCATCTTTACAAGAGGTTCAGAAATAGCTGATGTATAAATTTACTTTCCAAGCTTCTAAAACAAAAGGTGAAAAGACGACGTACATTATAATACTTCATAGATAACAACTTTACAAGGTGTCTTCAGATTTCATTACTACTTTGAATGGAGGATTAATCACCTAGTATTTCACAAAGAAAGCTTTACAAATACAGTATGGTGTCTGACAAAAACTTGAAAGTTCAAGAAGGTACAAATACTTCCAGGTTGGGAGCTGTATGTTACAACTGTATAGATCTGAACAGGTTTTTGGATCTATCACAGTTATGCCCAGTGTGCTTTGAGACACACTGCACTTCTCGCACGGTTCGCTCTTCTGACTGTGAGGTGGGCGATATTATCTAAAGAAACTGCCAGCTTCTGTTCTCTGTTGCTTCATTGTGAAGCTGCCTTAGAAAATAGACCTTTTTATAGTGTCCAGTGGTTTCTGAGCTGCAGATTTAAAAAAACCCAAACGGACACATGCACACAAAAGCAAAACCAAAAAAAACACCCCAAAACAAACCAAAAAACATCTTAGTTTAGTCTGTCATCTTCCAGTCAGTGTGATGAGGAAACAAGCTTGGTCAGATATTTTATATGTGCACATTTGGTATGTGAAGAAGAAACTGGAAAGAGAATGCTCGTTTGGTAAGGAGTGAAAAAAAGAAACCAGTCAGATGGAAGGCTAAGGATGTATATGTGAACAAGAAAATAGAATGAGTTGCTTAAGGGGGGATTGAGAATGAACAGGGAGAAAGTGAAAGAGCCTGCAAGCCAACATAAAAGAAAAAATACATCGCAGGAGAGAATTTAATAAAAGAGACTGGTGAAGAAAATAACACTTCACAATGAAGATACAAAGAAAATGTAAATTACGAAAAGCAAAACGAGGAAAAATACTGTTAAATATTTAAGATCTAGCTAGTAGTTGCATGTTCACAGTAATTTTAACTTTATGTATATACAAATGTATAAAGGGCCATAGGAATTGTTATGACCTGTTTTGACATTTTTGAAGTCTTCACTATGCCAAAAACCCAAAATCATAGCCTGCGTAGTTCACTCTGAACGTCTACAAGTTCTTACATTTTTTCACGCGAAAGAAGAATATCTGTTCCTACTTGACTCACAGATACATTGACATGGACTCTTTTTTAATTTTAGAAATGCATTCACTTGTTTCAAAGCAAGGTATTTTTAAAATATTGTCCTGGTTAGAGTATCTCTAGGGCTTTTCTGAACGGCCTTACTCACTCCTCAAAATAAAAACATTGTGAACAGAGAGAGCACAGGCAACATCAACCTGGTTGTATGTTTACCTTTTGCTGAAGCTACCGTTCTGCCCATATGTATAGTCTCTGATAGTCTTCGTAAATGTGGTTTATGGGATCTCCAACAGTTCGTTGTTTCATCTGCAGTCTGCATTTCTTCGTGTCAGTCACTGGGTCTGTGGCGATTAACAAATATTCAAAGCTCATCACTGTCATTTTGGAAAACAAGCAGGTAGCTTACCATAAAGAATTCCTCAATAAAATTTGGATTGGACTAGAGCCTGTCAAACTGGTTTTATTTGTTCAACTGCTATGTCACGTAGCATTTTGTTAGCTGAGTCTCTAAAATTGTCCTCCATAGTTTTCTTTATTTGTGGTCTGTTTAATGTTGACATAGTGAACAAGCTTATTTTTACATCTGCAAGTGAATGTTTCAGATGAAATTTTGAATTATGTCACTGATAAACAAATATTTAGTTTTGAATACCATGTTAAAGGTTTTGCTGCTAGAGCATGTTAGTGCACTTTAATGCTGATTTGTTTCAGGTTTGGAAGTGTAGTCTTCTGCTCAATATCGTTTAACCTGAATGCAGAGGCTCTGTCAGGTGTTGATTAAATTTTCTCTAAATGTGTAGTCCTGGTATATCTTTATTTGCTTTCACTGGAGTGAATTTAAAACATACAACGTTGTATAGCAAAGATAATGGTGTATGTATTCTTAGTTTTCATTCACAAAGCTTGGAAATTTATCTGGCAATGCTAACAAGCCAGATGATGACTTCTTTAGTTTGCTAATTGAAAAAAAAGCTAATTTCAGATACCAGTCTTCTTAGAAAGCTCCTAGATGTGTCATTTTATCGATTGACCTGTATCTGGAAAAGGGGAGAGATTTGTTTTTTATTATTATTTATTTTAGCTATTTGGCTAAAATTGTAAGTGGGTTTTGTGGAAGAAAAAAGTGAAGAGTGTGGTACCAGAAAATATATGATCATGGCATTAAAAATAACTTGTTCCCACAAGCCTGGTCAAATGCTTCAGCTTTACTTCTCCAATAATATCTGAAAATAGAAAATACATCAAATTGGTTACCGGATAGGAATTGTACAAAACTTAAATACTTTGCACTGAATTATGTCAAAACTATGATTTGGCTAAGGAAGTCAAGAAGAATCGCTAGAAGGCCTTAGTGCTCGCTGTGTTAATGCTTAGTCTTTACATAATCTGCATGCGACAATACTTCCCTAGAGCAAAATTACTGTTAATATCTTCCCATTTTTAACTGAGTACTAGATCAGGAGAAGTAAGCAGTTACTGAATTTCTTAGTGCTTCATGTAGCATTGGGGCCTTACACTGGCATTCTGCTATCAGTCTTCTACCTAGACGTTCCAGAAAGAGCCAGGCTTCCTTCTCGGTGGTCTCAGAAATGCTTTTTTTAAATTCTGGACAGTTCAAAGATTTTCACAAAGAACATATTTGTTCCCCAGTGAAAATGTGCTTGAATTGGCGTTGGGTTTTTGCACTTTGCTCCTGGAATCTATGCATCTAAACATAGGGGCTGCCCTTTCACTTAAACCTGTGATAGCACGACAGCCTGATAGTGGCCACTGACCACTCTGTTTAGCTCACTACCCTTTATTGACCAGTTGACTTTCTTGAGAGATGGGCTCATTAATTTTGTTCTCAAACTTTACCCTGAAAAAAGAGGGATGGGGTGGGATTTCTCTTTGACTAATAATGAAACACTGTAAAGTCATTGTGTTTGTACACGAAATGTTTTCCTGTTTCCCATAGTTAAAGCTTTTCATCTCAAATATGATGAAGTACGTCTGGATCCAAATGTACAGAAGTGGGATGTAACAGTGTTAGAACTGAGCTACCACAAAAGACACTTGGACAGGCCAGTATTTCTACGCTTCTGGGAAACTTTGGACAGGTATGTTTCCTGTTGAAAATCCTTTACGCTCATGTTTTTATGATGTTTTGTGGGAATGATAAGTTATGGCAACAAACTTATCATTTGGTATGCAACTTAGACATGTGAAGAGTGTTTTAGCTTGAAAATACCACATATTTAGATTTTCCCTGATGATACAGTTAAATATATACCACCATATTTTATTATACACTATAAACAACAATCTCCAAAGTGTAATATGCATGGATTCAAAGGAAGGGTAGTTATCATTAATCATCGATTAGTACCATGACTCACCACCTCCCTTTAAGCAGAAGGAAAGGAACAAGCTAGGTGGTGTAGAGTTTTCCTTTGTTCCCCCAGCCCTCCCCTTGCACTGCAGTTCTGAGCTTACAAGCTCTCCTCCTTTCTCTCTCCACCTCACTAGATGACAGTCTAGGAAATGTGAGAAGATACCTTAAGATACAGAACCCCAAAGCATTACCTTATACTGATGCCCTTGAGTCCACAGCACCAGGTAGAAGAGGAAGGAAGTCAGAAAAGAAGTGGCACATGATGAGTTGTGGACTAGTGATTTGTCTGTATCTTAGGGGCTTTCCAAGTACTTCGCCCTGCCTGTCATGAAAAGTGAGGGAAGGAGGAGCACCAGCCGCTGTGTGGATAGCAGCATTGCTTCTGACTCTGCCCTTCTGTGGTTCAGACCCTCTCGAGTAGGAAGTTCATTGCAATACCCTTTTCAAGTTGTAAAGAAGAAACTTTCTTATCATGAAGCAGTTGAAGAAATGTTTGAGGGAAGGGAGAAGCCCATGCATTTCATGAATGTTTAATCTTTTCATGTTGATTGCACAGAAAACTGCTTGAACGATTGAGTGAACTTCAAAAAGAAAAATCCTATGGGAGTTGTCAAAATAATTCCAAGCATCAAACTTTCTATGGCTTCTTATTTAAAAGTCTCAGCTAAACTGTGTAGCTGAATTCCCAGAATGAACTAGAGTTATCTTTCACAACAGTCTTCCAATGTTAGAAGTCATATGATGCCTCGGAAAACATGAATTTTCTTCGAAGCAAAGGTTTTAGCTGACTTCTTTTAGTGGGACAAATATTGTGCATAATGCAGAGCTGTATGGCATACAAGACATTGCATCTCTTTGGCAACTTGCTAATTCTGTAAGAACTTTGTTTTAACAAAGTCTGTGCATATTATTCCTGAAACTAAAAATTTCTATAAATACCAAAAGAGTAGTAATGTTGTCTTCTGTTAATTTTTTGCAGGTATATGGTAAAGCACAAATCTCACTTGAGATTCTGAATCCTTCAGCTGCCATTTATTTCCTGAAGTATGGATTGAGAAAAATGAAAGGGGCTTCAGTTTGGAGACCAGAGCTCATGCTATATGATATGTCAAGAACTTTACAAATGAAGAAGGGTCACAGTTTAAACTTTTTATAAAATCTTGTTTGGAGGCTTCGTGCTATGGCAGGTTGATACCTGTTGTTATTCAGAAGCAAAGGGGTTTTGCTTAAAACTATTTTTTTAATGTTGTTAGCCTTCTAGTCTGCAATCCAAATTGTATATTTTGATAGCAGCAGTTTCTTCTCTGTTTTGTTAAATTAGCCACATTTTTAAATAATGTGTTTTGTTCCTTATTAGAAAATAGATTGATCTTCACTGCAGATTACAAATGAGTGTGTGTGTGCATGTGCACATGTGCACACGTGTGTATATATATGTGTGAGTGTGTCTATATATATAATGTATAAAAAAAAATTAGAGACACACTTCCGCAAACATAGATGTTACCAGGCTTTCTAAACCAGTTAGCTTCTGAGCTTAGATTTGGTTTTCTTTGCTTTCACTTACTGAAAATATTTTGTTGTGAATGATACTACATTTTAGTCAGTAGGACTTGCAAACTGAACAAAGTGAAAATTCTTTTGGATAAATCAAAATGTCAACCTGTATATGTATATTCTGTCAGTCTTTGTTGAAAAAGGGAAGATGAAAAATCTAGAAACATTTTTTGGATTTGTAATGTCCCAGTTTGCTAAATCTTTAAACCTTATTGTAGGAATACCTTCAAGTCATGTTAACTTTAAATTGCCATTCTCCACACAGGTCTCTATGTAAACTGAAGTGTGCATGTGTACATTACCATCTATCAAAATACCTTTACATATGAGTCTAAATGTTACCTAGATTAAACAATGAATAGAGGAGAGAGTTTGGATTTTTTTTCTTCAAAGAGCCACCACAAGGAACGAATAATTGCAACTTCTTTGCATTTATACCTCTAATACCACCTCTGATATTATTTTCTTGTGAAAAAAGTAGTCCACACGATCACTACAGGAGTTGTGATTTTCTGAGATGAGTGGCCAGTGTGGCCTCCTGACAGTCCTGCAATGGAATGGAAAATGAGCCTACTCCAGTTACCAAAGAACAGATTTGCTTCATCTACAGTACGAGTATAACTGAGGCCAGAAGACCCTGGTATTTGTATGAACTTCTGGTATCTCTGTATCTATTTAATAAGATTAAGTCGATGTTGCATACCAGTGGATGTAGAGAATGATCAAATACTGTAACATCTGCATGAATTTTTTTCTAGGATAGAAATACATGTTTATATTCCTGTTCTTGAAATTCCAAACCATGTTTTTTTGATATACTTTACATTTAAGGTTTGACAAAAGTAAAATGTTCTACCTATTCTTCCTTAGTTTTGCTTTTTATTTGATGTTACCTTCATTTTTAATAAAACCAGAAGGCACACCTCCTTAAGAGGTTTTTAAAGCTATGTGTTAAATTTATGAGGACTGTGAGGTCTGACTTCATGCCTGCTGTATCGAGACTACTGTTTTTAAGTGGTCTTAATGGAAATGTGAGGAAAAAACTCAACCACCAAACAAAAAACCCCAGTAACTTCAAGATCAGAAGTTGACACTGGATGTTTGAATGGATTCTGCGAAGTGACCAAGAGCAGGCAATACAGAACTATTAGAAGGTCTCCTATTTGTACAGGGAGTTGGTCAGTACCAAATGACTGGTTTTTTCCAATACTTAAGCTTCTTATAGATGTATCCGTGTCATAAATGAGTGAGCTAAAACATTCAATACTTTGTTTTAACCTGTACTATAATTAGAAAAGCTGTAATGGCTATCAACATAGCAATCACTACCATGAGGAAGTGGTTCAGTTTAGGGTTCATTACTACTTTAAATAGTGCGATACCATGTATGGGTTTTTTAAGTCTCAAACATTTCCAACTAGAAATGTAATTTTTTTCAGACTTAATCAGTACTTCATGGCCCATGCAGTTTTAAAGAGACTTCTACAAGGGGCAGCAAACTTAAGAAGTAAATTCTGAAGAAATGTGCTCCATCATGTTCTCTGTCCTGTATTTCACTTGTGTTTTAAACGCTTGTGTAATCCCAGGTCCAATATTGTATACAGGAGATGGCTTGATTTAGATGTAAATTTATGTATATATTGGGAGTAACTCCTCTGACACTAGTGAAGGTACATGGATGTGAAACGGGCAGAAGAGCAGAATCTATGAAATCTTTGTATGAACTGCCATTTTTTATGGATTGAGCATAGACTTTTAACATCTTGGAATTGCGTACTTGCAAGCAATTTACGACACAAGTTGTAAAATATGTATTTGTGAAGGAGTTGGCACCTGATCGTGCATATTTTTGTCAGTCATAAAAGTAGTGATGTTTATAAAATGAGCCATTTTGCAATCAGATTCCTGCT